TCTAGTTCCCAATTAAATTATGAATCCCATCTATCTTCTTTTGTAGTTGCATCAAAAGCCAACTTTCAGACATTTAACTACTATATTTTTACAAAAGCAAAGTTAAATCACAGGTAATTTAAAAAGCTCTTGTATTTTGCTTTGGAAGTTAGAACAGCAAAAAGGAAAAAAAAATCAGTTTTTATGTGACCCCTGAACTTTGAGTCACAACACCATAACCTCCTTGCCACTAAAACATTCTGTGCCTTAATCTCCTCTCTCTGCACTGATGTAGTGCGGAGAAAAGAAAACAGAAAAAATAATCTGGGGACTTCATTAATTTTTCATGAATTTTCATTTAGGCCAGAACCCCCTTTTACCCTGGTCGATAGATCAAGCTGCTGTCATATATTTACCACCTGGGGCTACAGCTGCTATCTCTAGGGGCTGCCACTGACTCGGGCTACATCACAGGCAGCTACAATCTGTGTGAGGACCCCTGTGCTCCCGCTGCTCCAAACCCAGGCAGCATTGATGTTCAAACTGAAATCCTATCAGCGCCAGCAAATTCTAGGCCCTCTCGGTGAGCCCATCAGAAAACTGTGTATTAACTTCTTCAGTGCCTCATGTCTTGCTATGGACACCATGATTCTGTTTTCTAAATATGTAAAAATCATTTTTCACTAAAAGACCTTTGAGTTGAAGTGATTTGAAAAGTACTGCCTGGATGGCTTTTTCCCTCCAAAACCAAGGAGGGAAAGCATATATGAGGTGATAGAAATCTTCATTACAATGACTGGTTCTGAATATTTTTTTCCTCCACTACTTTGTACCCTTACATAAAACTGAAGAATGTATTAAATGAAAACAAAGAAGAGAACAAATACAGTATGGTAAAGGACAGGAGGACTTCTATACAATCAGTCAAGACAGATAGATATCCATAGGAGTGCATATTACATACAACAGCAGAAACCAAGATTTAAATTAAAAATGAAAACTGAGGTGAAGCAGAGCCAAAAATTGTCCTTATTTTTACCACTAATCATTTCATGGTAAAAGCTGTAACAAGTCTGGTTCCTACTTATCCATACACTCTTGACCATGCAAATACACCTAACTCAGTAATTCTCAGCCCCCCTCACCTCCCTCCCCTGGGCACACTTGCAGCGTCTGGAGACATTTTTGATTATCATAAATGGGATAAGGGGGGTCCTGAGCAAAGGCCGGAGATACTGCTAAATAGCCTACAATGCACAGCACAGACCCCACAACAAAAAAATCACCCTGCTCCAGTTCCCTCACACCCCTTCAGAGCTAAATTCTTGGAAGAACAGGCAGCATTTACCATTCCAACTCCACCACCTACTCATTTCTCCTAGAGCCCAGAGATGCCTTTCATTTGACCATCATGTGGCATTGGCATTGCCAACCACTTTTTCATTCAGAAAATTATTTCCTTGGTTTTCTTGTCACTTCACTGCCAATATCGCATCAGCTCTGAAACCTCCTCTGAGTCTCCAGCACCAGCACTTCTTTCCTTTCCTCACCATTAAATAAGTGGGGTCCTAGGAGGCAGGAGTGGTCTTAGCTCTTATTAATCACTGGGCACACAGCCTGCCTGGGCAATCATGTCCACTTCTATCTACTCTCATGGCTTCGGACCTCCATCTGGGAAAAACCTTTCTTCTCAATTCCAGAAGCGTTTTAAAAAACAGAACATGAGGTATTTTTACCTTGATATTTCATTGATGTGGCAACCAATACAGCCAAAGCAACTGTACTCTTTGGTTCCCACTACAGCTATTTCTCCAGTCTCTGCCATTCTTATGGATGGTGGTACTATACCCACTGTTAATATGCCACACACACACACACACACACACACACACACACACACACGTATGTATATATGTATATGTATTTCACCCTCTAATGCCCAAACTGACCCTAAAGTAATACATTTTATAATTTCTTTATATAATGCAAACTATTCCCTTCAATCTTCACTGTTATTTTCCGTTTAAAATCTAACATATACACTCTTCTGAGTTATTTGGCAGCTCCTTAACTCTGTTCTGATTTCAGTCATCATTCCTTTAACCCAGGGGTGTCAAACTCATTTTCACCAGGGGCCACATCAGTCTTGCAGTTGCCTTCAAAGGGCTGAATGTAATTTCAACTCCTTAACAGTTAAGGAGTAGTGACATTTATAGAGTCCTAAAGTTATTTCAGCCCTTTGAAGGCAACCATGAGGCTGATGTGGCCCCTGATGAAAATGAGTTTGACAACCCTGCTTTAACCCAATCTTCAATTCTCTTCGACAGACTCTCCTTTCACAAAACAAAAACGTCTAGATTTTGTGATGCAGTACATGCCTACCTTTTGACATATCTTGCCCACCAACCTTGTATCAAGCCACTTGCAGTTTTCCAAATGCACAGTGTTTTTAGGCTTCCATTCTTTTCTTTGATGTTTAAAAAATGGATGTTCCTAATTGAGCATTTATGTTAAGGGTTCTAAAACATGAAGGTCAAACTTTTATATAACCTGATAGAAGAGCATTTATATAATTTATGCCCTTTTATAAAATACATTGGTTACCAATACTATCGCAAAATCACGATGCTTTCACCCAAGTATCCATATTAATACTTTTAATGAAACATAAAGAAAGACAGAAGACTGATGAGCTAATGTGAAAGAGATGAGCCGCATATAAATGAATACTATTTGATCTTGTGTTGCTCAAATGGCATGAACTGCTGACATAGCTTTAGAAGAAAGAATTTTATTCACCAGCTAAATTCAATTTAGAAGACTTCTGTTTTCCCCTTTAGGTCAGGAATATTTTTAGGATTTCTCAAAGCTCATTGATTTAAAAATTTTTAAAAAGGTACTGTCATATTACAGGATGAAAAAAGTAAAAAGATTCATTATTTAATTTTTTCTTCCTGAAACAGTTTGATTCATTATTAATGATGTAATTACAAGAGAAAGAAACCCTTCCCAAATTATTAAATAAAAGTGCAAGATGCACATTTACTGAAAGCATTTTAACAAAACTAAGGCTCCAAAACTTATAAATTTATGCCTGCATAGTAAAAAAATGACTGGCCAATTTAGATAAACTTTAATATTGAGAAGAAAAGTTAGTTAAAGATTAAAAATACCTATTTAATGCTAAGTATAGAAAGAAAAAATTAAAAATGCTAATTCTTAATTTTTACTTATATAAAATAGGCCATATTTAATTTTACTTTCTCCAAATATGGACAATTCTCTAAAACCAAAAATTAGAAGAAAAAGGATCTGATCTTGAATCCCCATTAACTTACTGTCTGAGTCTCAGTCACTTAACCATCAGGGATTTCATTTTACCCACAAAAGAGGAGAATAATGCCTGTTCATATTTATTGCAAAGGTATTGGTGGGAAAAAAAGATCAATAGATTTTGACATTGAAATATTTCAGTATTTTTCAAAAGTTCCAGAAATAAAGTATTTCAAAATAAAAATGGAACAATTGAGAATATTCGCATTCTTAACTTTTTTGTGTATTTCAAATCTTAGTAAACTGAATTTAATTTAACTGCATTTTAAATTCCTTGTAAAAATAAAATTACCTGGTTCCGGTGCAAAATGGAATTGCTAGCCAAGGTTCTAATCCTCATATTTCGAGGTCTTTCACAAAACAAATTTGGATCTTAGGATTCTTCTAATCTTTTCTTATTGGACTTACACATTTCAATCATAAGTGAGTTCTCAATTTCCTAATACAAACTATAAATGAAAAGACTGGACACTTGAGAACAAAAGCTTTCAATGGATAGCTCAATAAGAAGTAGTATGATTATGTTTACTAAAATATGCTTTCATGTATAAAGATAATGATAAAAGATAATGGTACATTGGTGAGAATTTCAATACACAAACTGTATAATCTACTGTAATACACTGTAGAACATGAGTGTAAGTATTAACTTTAATTACAGACATTATCACCACCTCTGGTCATATAAATAAGATTGATGCCTCCTGAAATTCCTCAATTCTCTTATTATGAGACCTATTTGTGCAATCAAAAAGTTGAAAAGTACAATCTGTTTTAAGACCCAATTGTTGCCTTTTGTTCACAATTAATTCTAGATGAAAATCTGTCCTCAAAATAGATAATATAAAAAATGTATGATACTGTTTAAATTACTATTCCAAATCCTTCCTATAAGCCAGAAAAAAATCTATCTCATATTTTTTAATTTGCTCTAAAAAGTAATCCATGAATTTATGGAATCAATGTTCAAATTGCTGCAAAGCATTGATATCTGAATTCACTAGTGTAGTTTTTTTATGTCAAAGTCAGGACAAATCCTTACTGCTGATTCCAAAGACTAAGTCAGACCTACCAACATACAAACACTCTGCCCCTATAGAAATAACATTTTTCTCTGATTAATTTTTATTAAATAAATATAGTTGATGTTATTGTTGATATGTTCTTGCCAGCATGACTGGAGTAACAATTTCTGAATTCAGCCTGGAGTAAAGGAGTTAATTTAACATAGAGCATATGTTCTTTTTAAAAGAGCTTGATAAAATTTAGAATTGGAAATGTGTGTGTGTATTTTATACATAGGTAACAGAAATAGTAACAATATCGAATTTATCCCTTGTATTTGATTCCACAATAGACATAAACTTTTCATTTAACACTGCCAATTTTAATACTTGATTATATCTCTCATTAATAATTCAAATTTTAAATATGACCAGCATCATCACCAACTTGTTTAACATACTAACAATTTTCATACTGCTTTAATATAAATAAATTTACTGCAACACCCTGACTTGGCATTATTTTGGCCAGCATTCTTTGGGGAAGACAAAGTAAAATTATGCAGAGTATGTTGATTGTTTTATACTGTTGGTATTGAGCATCTGTGGGAGCAAGTCAAACTCATTACAAATAAATCAAAGTAACTGTGCATGTCATTTAAGAGGTTCATTTTGTTTACTTACGTGCCACTTCCAGAGATGCATTTCGACTCACAGCTTCACCAAGATAGTTCCTTGCAACACAAACGTAGCTTCCTTCATCAGGTTTACTTCTGCGTCCGTGCACAATGCGCAAGAAGAATAAGGATCCGCTCGGTAGCAGCATCCTGTGGGACCGGGGATCATCCTTGTCAGTCTCCACCCGCTCACCATCCTTGTACCACTCAATGGTGGGTGTTGGTCGGCCCTCTGCCTTACAGTTCAAAGTAGTGGGCTCTCCCTTAGAAACAATGACATCTGAAGGGTGCTCCACAATCCGTGGCGGAAAGTCTTCCTGGCGAAGACGAGATCCTACAGAACATGAGAGAATAAAGACGTGCTTTCACATTTTCTCTTTTTTTAAAATAATTAATCTTTATTGTATTTTCCCCTTACCATTAGTCTTCTTATACCTCTCTCCACAATCACCACACTGTTGTCCATGTCCACGAGTACTTTTTCCTTTTTGTTCGATCCCACCACACCCTAACAATCCCCCTGACTAGCTGTCATCTGTTCTCCATCTATGAGTCTGTCTCTGTTTTGCTAGTTTGTTCACTAGATTCCACATATGAGTGAAATCATATGGTATTTGCCTTTCTCTCACTGGCTTATTTCACTTAGCATAATGTTCTCCAGGTCCATCCATATTTTCACAAGGGTTCACTTCTCCAAAGAGAATATGCAGATGGCCAACAGACATATAAAAATATGCTCAATGTCACTAATCATTAGAGAAATGCAAATTAAATCCATAGTGAGATACCGTCTTACACCTGTTAGAATGACCATCATCAATAAATCAAAAAACAAGTGCCAATGAGGATGTGGAAAAAGGGGAACCCTTTTGCACTGTTGGTAGGAATGCAGACTGGTGTAGCCACTGTGGAAAACAATATGGAGATTGCTCAAAAAATTAAAAATGGATCTGCTTTTTGACTGAGTGATCTCACTTCTGAGAATATATCCAAAGATACACAAAACACTAACTTGAATGAATATAAGCATCCCTATGTTCAGTGCAGCATTATTTACAATCACCATATATGTAATCACCCAAGTGTCCATCAGTAGATGAGTGGATAAAACAAGTATGCACATTTACACAATGGACTACTACTAGACTATAAAAAATTTTTCCCTTTGCAACAGCATGAATGAATCTGGAGAGCATTATGCTAAGTCAAATAAGCCAGTGAGAGAGAGACAAATACCATATGATTTCACTCATATGTAGAATCTAATGAACAAACTAAACCAACAAGTGAAACAAAGACAGACTCATAGATGGAGAGGAGTATGACAACTAAGGGGGAGGACGGTAGGAGTGGAGGAGTCAAGCAAAAAGGAAAAAGGACTCATGGATATGGACAACAGTGTGGTGATTGTGGGAGGAATGGGCATAAGGGTATATATGGTAATAAAAATCAATAAAAAATTAAAATTGAAAAAAATTTGCTTTTAAAATTCTCCAACCAATCACCTAATATTAACATATTTCTGCCCAATAAACAAGTAATATTTATTCCTCAGTGTTATGCCAGTTTAGTTTCAATATTAATTAAAAATTAATATTTTACTTTATTCGAGGAAATTTAATTTGGTAGTAAGTAAATGTTTTCTTTTTTGAAAATAATTAACTTTTAAAAGGTGCTGGCTACCATTTGTTATCCCATCAGACCCAAGAAGGAACTTAAACTTTACAAGTGCTAAGTACCTAAAGTAAAAGAGCAATTCACAGTACACAGAATTTTAAAAAAGAAAAAACTAAAGAGCCCCAAGGCATTTAAATATGGACAGGTAATCACATCATACATCACAATAATAAAGAAAGTTATATATTATAATTACTGGGTCCCTATAGAAAATGAGAAATTTTCAGATTACAAAAAGTAAAAATTATTTTAAAAAATAATAATCAAGGAAGATCTCAAAGAATTTAAATATAAAGGGCTAATCATAGTTTGCACATCAGTAACATATTCCCAGATGTAAATATCTGGACACATAGCCATAGAATCCAATCCTGAAGTGCATCAAGATTTGTACGTCACTTTTTATGTAACAGGCATATGCTTGGCTGCAATCACCTGATAGTGACATATCCTCCTTGTTCTCCAGTCTCCCATATGCAGTCACCTACATTATCCTAACTGTCAAACTTAATCTATTAAAACAAAGCAAGTCAAACATCCATGTTATTAGAGTGTCATTTACTATATCAAATAGTTCCCTACTTGTTAAGTACTTGGCCTGGGTAGGACTATAGAAGACCGTTCTGTGTGGTGTGGGCCCAGACAGGACCCATTCCCACAGATAGGTTCTCCCATGGGGAATCAGGCCTGCAATGCACCTAGGCTGCTATGAGACTTTCTTTTGCTAAAACTCCCTCACCCTGAATTGAGGCAGCAAGTGCTTACTGTAACTTCCTAAAATCCATGCTAAAACTCCCCAGTATGGAGTGTAACTGGTTCAACCACTTTTCCCTTTGCATTTGCAAATATCCTTCTCCTGTGATCTGATTAGCGGCATCTTCTCCTTTGTTTTCTGTAAACGGTAACCACCTAAAGGAAACCTGTACACAGTAAATGAGGACCGTCATGTAATGTGCCCAGGAAAGCAATAAAGGCTTGTCATGGCAAGAACCGAGGCTTTTTCTCCTCTTGAGAGAAAAACCATGCCATCCTTATTCCTTCACAGGACTCAGTAGTTCGTGTGAATTTCCCATGCCTCATCCACAATGTGGCAGACCCCACAAACTAGGGTCTGCATCATAGGACCTTAAATACAGGAGTGAGCAAACATAGATTTTCAGTTGTTTGTATGGAAAATAGTACAGTAATTAATAAAAATACAAGAATAAACTGTGTTGTATATGCTCAACCATAAACCTACTGTAGCCCACCCTGTATATTAATACTTAATTAAATGAAATGTTAAATAATAGAATATAAGAGAAAAAGGGGCAAAATAGCCAAACTAGTTAGCAGTAAGATTAAGAATCTAGTATGTTCAACTAAGAGAATTTTACTAATTTATCACTATAACATATATAAACAATTCTAGTGTTGTCATATTTGTATATTCTTCCAGCAATTTCATCCCCACTATTATAAAAATGTCAAAAGAACATCTACAATCTAAATGTAAGAGGTAAAACTATCAAAAATTGGAGGAAATAACAGGAGCCAATTTTCATGACCTTGAGTTAGAGCACATTATGTGGCTGTGATACCAAAAGCACAAATGACAAACAAAATAATAGGTAAATTGGACTTCATCACATTTAAATATGTTCATGCTTCAAAAAAAATCATCAAAAAGTGAAAAAGGCAAACCACAGAATAATAAAAATATTTGTGATCATTTATTTGTTATGGGATACATATCTAGCTCTTTATATATAAAGAACTTGTGTAACTCAATAAAAATACAATAACCAAATTTAATGCGGGCAAGGGATTTGAATGCACGTTTATCCTAAATAGCTGCACAAATGGCCAGTAAGCACACAGAGAGATGTTTAACATCATTAACTAGTAAGTTAATGCATATCAAAACCACAATGAGATATACTTCATAACCACTGGGATGGCAATTACAAAAAAATGTAAAATATGTTTGGTCAATGATGTGGAAAATTTGAGAGACTCATACATTGCTGGTAGGAATGTAAAACAGTTGCAGCCACTTTGGAAAATAATGTGGATTTCCTCAAAATATTTTAGAATTCACATATGACCCAGAAATTCTACTGCTAGATACATGCCCAAGAAAAATGAAACCTTATGTCCACACAAAGTCTTGCACATAAATGTAATATACTGTTCATAGCAGCATTATAACAAAACAGTGGAAAGAACCCAAATGTCCATCAACTAATGAATAGATAAATGATGCATATTTACATAATGGAATATTATTCAGCAATTAATAGGAATGAAGTATTGATAAATACTACAACATGGATGAACCTTGAAAATATTATGCCAAGTCAAAGAAGCTAGTCACAAAAGACCACACATTATATAGTTCCATTTTTTATGAAATGTCCAGGAAAAAAATCCCTAGAGCAAAATGTAAATTTGTGGTTTTCTAGGGTGGTTGATGGGGCGAGGGAGATGGGGGGGCATCCTCTCAGGGTAGTGAAAACATATGAAGATACATAGTGGTGATGGTTACACAATTCTGTGAAGGTGAAAATTTATTATATTGTGCACTTTAAGTGAGTAAATTATGCGCTACATAAATTATATCTCAAATAAGTTTTTAAAAGAATCATGAATAAAGGCACTGTGAACAAATTTAATATAAGGCAGTGCAATAATTTGTTTTTACTCTAACCAACAGGTTATTTACTTCATTTATAAGTTCAGGTTTTAAATGTAGTCATCATGCCAGCAATAGCTAACAGAACATAAACTAAGGTTGAAAGGTCTTACCAGCCCAGAGATAGATGATAGATAAGTAGATAAATAGACAGATAAATAGATAGGCAAAATACAGCTACAATTGAAAAGTTTTGATGTTATTACAAGTGAGGGGATTAATTCTGACCTCCTTTAAAATCAGGCATTACACAACTACAGCAGAGCAGTGAACCTTAAAATGGATAAGCCTTAGGCAAGTCCTTGAATTTCTTGAAATTATGTATAAAATATGTGTTCCTGTGTGGGCAGGAGAAAGTAGTGGTGAGGGGAACCATAGCTTTCATCGAATTTCCAAAGAGATCTGGGTCATTAAAATTATGAAGCATTACTAAACTACTAAACTACTAAACTACTACATTATTGGACCAAAACAACCCCAGCATTTGGTTAAACAAATACACACAAAAAGACAGCTGAATTGGCAACCAAACTCATTGGGAATTCAAATCCCAACAGTAGAGGGGGCTATTCATCACACAAAATGCCCTGAAACCATTAAACCACAAGAGCTTTGATACCCAAAGGCATACTCTGCAGGGACCAACCCCAGACCTGCAGATCAGAATCAGAATTTTAACAAGATCCCCCAAGGGATGCATGTGCATGTTATAGTCTGAGAAGCACTGCTCTGACCAGGTTTTGTATGGTCCTGAGCTAAGAATGCATTTACATTTGTTAAATGTTAGAAGACTGAGGAGGAGAAGGAAAAGCAGGGAAAAAGAAAAAGGAGCAAGTCATGTTGTTGGAGGAAAGAAAGAGACCCCATGTGGCCTGAAGTGCTTGATATATCCGCCACCTGAACCTTTAGAGAAACAGTTGGCCAGTCTTGCTCTAGAGTCCCTGTTTATCACTCTACATTAATGACTTCAGTTTTTAAGTTTA